AAATATTTTATGCATATATTTATAAAAAAAAATAGTATTTTGTAAATGTATTTTGTACATTTTAATTGATTTTTCACTATTTGGAACGTTATAAGAAAAAATACTATCGTTTATTGTATATCACATTCTTATAAATAATATCTGTAAATTAGCAACATAAGATTTATTTTGTTTCTACAAGAGACACCACTGTAAAAATGTGGTATGATATAATAATTGATAATAGAATAAAATATTTGACTATTCCTTGCAAATCATAATATAAGTTTGAGATCAAAGAATGAATAAATAATAGTTATTACGTATATTCATGTAAAATATGATAGACAAAATGTACTTAAACAAATATAAATTCAAAGTCGAAAATGATAAATATATGGTGAATAACTATTTAGTTTCTTATTAAGAGAAAAAAATACATGAAATGGATATGAAGTATCACAATGTATATGCATATTTATAATAATTCAGTCTGGTGTGTATATACATTTATTTAACGATATGAACAAATTACCGATCATGAATTTATTTCTTAAACATTTTGTAAATTATTAAAAAAAAAGAAAAACGTATTTTTTCAATTACCGGCAATGTTTCATTGAAGCGATATCTAATTTGATGTTTATGAATTAATTACTACGTTTTTGTATATATCGCGTAATATGTCACTTAATTCTTAGTGAATTTCTCAAAAATATTACTACTGCATAATTATCGCTAATGCAGTATTTTGTATAAAAAATTATTTTTGTTTTTAGTATTTAATTAATTTTTTACTAAATTGATGTTTGTAATGCCTATATGGTTTAAGATTCTCTATATCATGATATAATCTTAGGATTATAAATATGAAATTTGTTAATGTTTCCAATAGTAATTTGTGTGTACATGTATGCAAACATACAAGGTGTTACATTTTAATCAAGGGACATAAAATCGTTAAAACTATTAGTGGTAAACATCTGTATGGAACCTATGCTATAAGTGGAGGCCTTTTGGATATTTGAAGGTCGTCATCGTGTGCTGCCGATTTGGTATTCATTCACGATAATATTGTGCTATTTCATTGTAATTCCCTTGACATTCCTTCAATAATAAAATTATATTAACTATTTCAGAGTACATAATAGTAACGCACCGCTGTACTTTGTCCCAAGATTATCACATTTAAAATGCATCATTTCCTGGGGATAAGGAAATCCTAGGCAATTTATATTTGTAAATATGCAACAATATTTCTATATAGATACTTTCTACTTTCAGTTATAATTTACCTATAACTTTGTCTTTCTTAGAACTACAATGCTGCATAAAAAAAATATATGATCTTTCTTTAAAGCAGATAGCAAGAGCTATGAAATATCTGAAGTAATGTTCTCCACAATTCTGTCTCCATTTTTATTTAATGAAATATTTCTTGACATCACTAATAGTTTCAATAACATTTGTATTTATATTTTAAAAGAAGACACCTTGTATATGTACAAATAAATATTGTAATTAATGTAATAAACAACTAACATATTTAATATGAATGCAATATGAAATTGTATATATGTACACACAGATCAAATACATGGAATGTGTATAAGAGTAATGCAATACTTACAAAATAAGAACAAGTTTAGCTATTCACTTGCATGTTATGTTAATACACATAAATATTTGTATTATAATTTTTGTAAAATAATGTATTCTAAGTTTTATATCTTTGTCTGCAGTGTATAAAACTATGCCATATTTACTGTTGACATCGAAAAATATTTATATGTAAACTTTTCATTGAATTAACTTTGTACTTTATTCACTCTTATTTGAATATAACTATATGTGTCATTTATTATTTATCGTTCTTTGGGTTGTTCAAATGTATAATAATAAAAATATTTTACAACATGTACAAAGGAATTATTTATTTACTAATATTAATATTTGAAATTAGCATTTTGATTAGTGTAAATTGATTAGTGTTTGCTTGGTGTTCAATTGTAAATTCAATATATACATTTGTAATTTAAGAAAATTAGTAGTTTGACCAGTGAACAATGTAACAGTTTATTTCCGTAAATATATTATAAATAAACATTGTATTTTTTTTTTTATAACAGTCAAGACATTGTCCAAGACATTTTCAAAGTAAATATTTTACAGAAAGAAATTCGGGGATTAAACTAATTATTTGTGGTTAAATAATATACACAGTTAGAAACAATACTGAAAACAGCATAAAAAAACAGTTTCCAGTAACAAAATGAAATTTGTATTTTGTTTTCTTTTTCATAGCGCATCTTGCACGAAAGATTCAAAGAAAATGTTAGTATTTTAAATACTAAACCAGTTAGGTTATCAAGAAAGAGTAATTTATTACTAAATGTAAATTTAAATATTATCATGCTTGATGCATGTACACCGAGGTGCATCGACTTTACTAAATCCCTAGAACCAGTGATGCCAGAATCGTGGACCGCGGATCAAAGCAGTTACCCACCCTATGACCTACTGCCGTCTCCCACTATACCGTCCTGGTGCTCTCACACAAGTGTAGCAGTAGCTCTATCCATGTGCGAAGCCTGTTACGCTCTTTCCGCCAATAATCTACGTCATCATGTGACGCTCGAGCAACCTCAGCGCATGAGTAAGAATCAGGAGATTCCCTTTAAATCTCGGTGAGACGCAGTGTTTCGAGTATATGGGCGTTCGGGACAAAAATCATAACCTCTAAATTAATCAATTTTCGACCTAAGTTCTCTAACACTTTCTTGAAGAGAATTCAAATATGCATTGATTGGCACATAAGAACCTGGTTTCGTTTAAAAAAATTGTAATGATTTTTATTCTTTATCGAATAAAAACTTTTTTGTAAATTTTCATTAACACGATTTATTGTCAACTGAATACTGATTACTTTTGTTTGTAACGTAGTGATGACGTAGATTATTGGCGGAAAGAGCCGAACTGGCTTCGCGCATTGACAGAGCTTAGTGAGAGCAGGAGGACGGTATAGTGGGAGACGGCGGTAGGTCATAGTGGGGGTAACTGCTTTGGCTTACGGTTCTGGCATCACTGAAAGGGCGTGTGATCTTCAACATTGATTTATTTAGAAATAAATCTTCGCATAAAAGAGAAATCGGTTTAGCTGTTTTCCGCTATAAAACGTTGAAAACACTCCTGAGTTCTGCATAGTAGTTTACGCAACTGGTATTTATGTGTTTTAGGCATTAGCAGCGGCGAAATGTTATTTGTTTACGAATCACGATTTTAATTACACTACAAACTAAGTTTGTCTAGAATTTTTTTAAATTAGAACTTAATTATAAAAATTACAGTTCTTCGAACTCTTTTGTAATCTAAGCATCATGGATAGGTTTTTAAATATTAATTGGTAAGTCTAAATTATTTTTTTAAAGTAACCTAACCTAGATTCGCTTTGGATAAAAGCTTGTTTTACTCACACATTTATAATTTAATTTTCATGTAAAATTATTTTATTAAATATACAAATAAATAATTCACTTTATAAAATAGATTTAATAAAAGTAATTAGTACATTTATTTAAGATTTACATTGGAAAGTGGGTATTAATAGTAAGATTT